GATTTATATCTCCATAAGCATGTTTTACAGGGATCCTTTGGTTCTTCACTCTCTGTGATTGAAGAACACAGTAAAGACCTTTATAGGAGGGTGACAATGGCTTCCATGTATTGAAATTGTTTTGATATAAGTACACATCTAGCTGCATGACATACAGCAAGACACTGAATTATGTGTGACCCCACAAAAGAGGTCAGAGAAAGTCCCCCACTCCTGTACCGCTCCCAGACTACCCTAAGTAAGTCCTCTCCAGAGGTGTCAGACCAATGCTGGATCAAAAAAAAAAAAAGTCAAAAGGAACACCTTTCACAACTGAGAACCTTTTGCCAAGCATTCTGCCTCCAGCTTTCAAGTGTTTAGTCAAGGGTTGTCAGCACATAGTTTCAGTGGGTTTGGATTGATTTTGTGGTATTGCAAAGGGAGTATGTGTAATTGAAATATGCATAGGAAAACAGGATTGTTTAGAGAGGTGTGTGTGTGTGTGTGTGTGAGAGAGAGAGAGAGAAAGAGAGAGCACACAGTGCCTGATTCAACTTTCATTGACACTGCTGTAAATCAGGAGTAACTCCACAGAGCTCAATTGACTTACACCACAGTAAAAAGCACTGCAGAAAAAGGGAAGAGGCATGCAGAAAGAAGAATGCTACAATTTTCCAGTTGATGATGGGCACGGTAATTTCAACATTAAGAAGTTTACATAAGATTCTCGGCAAATCAGCAAGTCATGCTAAGTTTCCTTGCTAAGCCTAGGTGGGGCAGAGCATAAGACAAGTTCTAGTAATGTTCCCTCCTCCTGTTGTACTTCCTCTCTCCACAACCAGGAACACTGCAAACAGCGGAAAAACAGCTGCTGTTCTCTTCTGAAGTCTCTGGCTTGATCAGCTTTCCCTTCAAACTGCACTTGTAGATCCTCCACTCCCTAGGAATGCCCCAGTTGCTCCTGAGGTGCGTGGTCTGCTCTGTTCATACCCATCCAACCATTCAAAACTGAGTAGTTTATCTTTGCTTGGCCTAATGGATGGGGCACTGGGCAGGGAGTCAGAAGGTCAGAAGACCTGTGTTCCATCTGTGCCATGCCTCTAGCTTGCTGCCTGAATTTCAGCAAGTCTGTTTCCCCTCCCACCTTTTGTCTTTTTAGAATGTAAACTCCGTGTGGTGGCGATTATCTCTTAGCCTAATGAGACGTACTACGTAGGTGTATGTACAGCACCTAGCCTAATGGGGCCCTGATCTTGGTTGGCTGCCCTAGGCACTAGTGTAATACTCTATAAATAATAATCCAGTCCAGGTTGATTTACTGGTCTGGAATTATCAGCCCTCTCTAGCACTTGGAACAGGATCAAGCTGTGGAAGAGCTCAAAGGATTGAAAAAGAAGAGGGGGACAATGGATGGGCATGAAACAGGAGAAAGAGAGAAGACACAGCAGAAAAGTGGAAGAAGAGAACAAGGAATGGCTGGAAGAAGAAAAGAGAAAACTGGAATTGGCGCGTTTGCTTTTGGGTTTTTAAAATACAATATGGTATGGAAGAAGTGGTACTTAAATGAGTGGCTCGGCTTCTCCTCTTACTTATCCAATTTTGCACCATTGTAACTCAGATTCCACTCTTGAGTTACAGAGTCAGCCCCACTCATTGGCCATCTGCACTCATTCCACGCTCAATATACAATTCCATGCTACAGATGCTGTAGATTTCAGTGTGATAAAGTACAGAGGTGGACTGGAAACTCTGTAGCAAAGTGGAACAGAAGTCATGAATGGTTTCAATACCCTACTAATATGCTAATTGCAGTTCTTGGTTACAATATAACCTCTGCTTAGAGGATGAAGCTCACACGAGCACAAAAGGGCTATGCACAACCAACTGAGCCACTTAATTCATATACCAAGGCCTTAAATGGTCTGGACATCCTGAGGTGGACCCTCTGTATTGGGGTGAATTTTACCTGGAGTGAAAAGAAATCACTTCAGCTTGGGCCAAACGCTGCAGCTTCTCTTCAGAAAAACAACCCTTGAAATCAAATGGGTGTTTTGCCACAGTCAGGACTGTATAATTAGGCCCCCGAAGAGGTTTCAATATACACAAGAATGCTGCATTCATTAAAACCAAGGAAACTTTCATCCCAAGGCACTACGCACAGCTGACATGCAGCCACTTCTGGGATGGAAGGTGACAGTCACCTGGCGCATTGCCCAGGAAAATTTTGGCCAAGCCATTATTCTTACCTTCAGCACCGTGGGCAACCTTCCTTTCAAGAAAACTGCATGGAACTCAGATAAGCTGCTAGGTTAATGCTGCAGAGATTTGAAAGTGTGGCTTGGGCGGGGGTCCGGCCAGCCTGAATCCCAGACCACTAAATCATCCAGCTCCGTATTTGTATTTCAGGCATTTGTATTTATTTATATGAGTATTTATATTCTGCCCCATGGCTTAGGGAGGCCTTTAGAGGGTGAAATAATGTAAGATAGTGTTCTTGTGCATTTCAATTCCTGAATGCTATGAATACCCTGAGAGTAGCAGATTACTTGTAACTTTGGCCCTATAAATGTTCCCCCGCTGCAGTGGGAAAGACTATAAAACCCACTATAAGACTATAAACCTGGCACTGGCTCCTGTTGAAAGAGAGGATACTGGGCTAGATGGACCTTTGGTCTGACCCAGTATGGCTGTTCTTATATTATGTTAAGTAATTAGGTAAGACTCCATTGAAGTCAGTGGAAATGCTCCCATTTAGAATCGCAGAGAATTTGGCACAGATACTTAGTTTTGTTGAAGTTCAATGGAATACTGCTCTTTTTAGCTTTATGCAGGAGCCAAATGCATACATGTCAAGTGTCCTTCTCCCTGCCTCTTCCCCCAGTCCCTTAGCATCTTTTTTATAAAAGGAAATATTTATAGTTTTCACACAATGTCCTTCCAGAAGGCTTCCCTTCCTAAGAAGTTTGTTTTGTGTTAAGTGTATCTCCGCTTTTCTCCTCAGTCCTGTGCCACAACACAAAATATATTAATGTCTTATATATTCAGGCCTCCTGCTGACGCACTGAAGACTAGAATTGATTGGCAAATAGTTCCCCCTGCCCCTCACAGACTTTTCGGCAAAATATCGAAAACCAACATATTTTACCAAAATTTTCTACAGGAAGAAAAAGCACATACTTAAAAAAAAAAAAAAAACAAGGAGTCTGGTGGCATCTTAAAGACTAACTTCAGGTGCATAGAGTGAAAGTTACAGGTGCAGGCATTATATAATGACAAGAGAAGGGAGTACCTCACAAGTGGAGAACCAGAGAGGGAAAAACAATCTCTTGAAGGGGAAAACCGAATTTTCCATCATAAAAAACAACCACCCAAAACCCGTTTCAATGGAAAAGTTTACAACCTGCCCTAGGGCAGACGCTTCTATTTCAGGCCCTTACTTATGCCCTGAAGTCTCTAAACATCTAGGTCTCTTGCAGGGAAGAGCCTGATCATGCATTACAGCTACGGTGACCAGACAGCAAGAGTGAAAAATCAGGACCGGGGGTGGGAGGTAATAGGAGCCTATATAAGAAAAAGACCCCAAAATTGGGACTGTGCCTATAAAATTGGGACATCTGGTCACCCTAACATGCAGGTCTGCCTGTAGCCCACTCCTGTTCTTCAGCTCTTGCATGCAACTCTCCTGCTTCTAGCCCAGGGGTCGGCAACCTTTCAGAAGTGGTGTGCCGAGTCTTCATTTATTCACTCTAATTTAAGGTTTCACATGCCAGTAATACATTTTAACGTTTTTAGAAGGACTCTTTCTATAAGTCTATAATATATAAGTAAACTATTGTTGTATGTAAAGTAAATAAGGTTTTTAAAACGTTTAAGAAGCTTCATTTAAAATTAAATTAAAATGCAGAGCCCCCCCGGATCGGTGGCCAGGACTGGGCAGTGTGAGTGCCACTGAAAATCAGCTCACGTGCCGCCGAAAATCAGCTCATGTGCCGCCTTCGGCACGCGTGCCATAGGTTGCCTACCCCCAGGGCCGGCTCTGGCTTTTTTGCCGCCTCAGGCAAAAAAGCCTCTCGCCACTCCCTCCCGCCCACCCCGCGGGAAGTGCGGCAGGGGAGGGCGCCGAGCCCGGCTGCGGGCCCGCTCTCCCCGACCAGCCAGAGCGCCGGGGGAGGGCGGTGAGCCCGCCGCGGCTCCGCTGGCGGCCGGAGCGCCGGGAGGTAGGGCAGAGAGCCCGG